AGCTGAATTGCGTCCAGTTCTGACGATCTTTTCCGTTTTCTTGAATCTATGATTTTTATTACTTTTATTATGTTTTTCGTTATGAGTAGCTAAGTTTTTAATCTAGGATTTTATTGGAACCCTATGTGGGGATTGTGAACCCGTTTTCTTGAGATTATGCAATTATGATTTTATGATTATTTCTTATACTTGTTATGATTGTTAGTGCATGAACTCGATCAATTTATGTGCTTTATCTGTGATTATTGGGATTGACTCGACGGAGCTATTTTGATAATTAGACGGTAAGTATAAGAACCTTCGAGTAGTTTTCACCGGATGAGCGTGTCAATTGCTTGTGGTGTCGTAGACATACAGATATCACCTTAGGTAGCCATTTACGAGACTTGTTAGTTAATGCTTTATTCATAATTTTTTTGCATAGACATATAGTGAACCGTTTATGAATAATAGACTCATAATACACGTGACAACGGGTTATGAGTAAATTAGTGTCTCGGATTAATAATCATGAATCATATATTTCATAATTGAGGGGTTTTGGGTGAACAATTCTTGCATAGGGGGAAGATAAAATCCTAGGTCCGTTTTTAATTGATATTTTCTCGTGATTACTTGCGTTCTTAATTAGTTTAATTGTTTAATTGATTTAATTTGACAAACTTGCGTAGGCTGGATAAAAATCATAGTTGTTAGAATTTGGTACTTAGGATTAGATAATTTGACTATTCCCTGTGGGATCGACATCCGACTCTCACGAGTCCACTTTTACTACTTGTTTGCGATACGTGCACTTGCGTGTTAGGTATTTAGCACCCAACACTGCATGTAAGCGCATTGTTTCTTTAACAACTGCTTCTAGATATTTCAATTTCGGGATGTGGGATTCTTCGACCGTCCTCTCCCCATCCAACTACGTCGGATAATTCTTTCTGCGCCTTGCTCATGACCGTCAGATTTAGCATGAGCTCGGCCATTGCCCACTCGACTGTTATGGCGCTTGTGTCGGTCCCACCGGCTACAATGTCCTATAATTAATTTTTTTTCCATGACCAAATCTTGTTAGTCATCAATGGATGAATCATATTTATTAGAAATCTAAAAAATAAAACCAAAACAATAAAAAATAAAATAAAGAAGAACTAAATGTGCATCGCCCCTTATAAATTTCTCAGATTCGCACTTTCCCCCCTAAAAGTTAAAAAAGAGACGACCCCTTCCAAATATTTTTCCAATTGCACTTTGCCGCAAAAGTTCAATTTTCGATGGCAACATGCAACAAAATTAATATTTTAAAGAGGCATTGCAATAAAAATTATATTTTAAAGGCGCAGCGTGCAACAAAAATAAAATCTTATAAAAGAGCGGCGTGCAACAAAAATAAAATAAAAATTATAAAGGCGCAACTTGCAGCCAAAGCACTCAATTCCGGTCAATAAATCATCGGAAGACGGTTATCGGGGCAACATGCAAAACAATTACACTTGGAAGGGGGTCCACTCACTTTCATATTTTTAAGGGGCAAAAGTGCAAGAAATGGAAATAATAGGCAGCAAAATGCAATTTGTATAAATAAAAATTATATCTACATTAATTAATTACCATCATAATAGCCTTGATCTGTGTATGACTAATTGAAATGTGACCACAATCTTGGTTGTTTTGAAGCTCTAACAAGATTTGGAGAAAGTCTTTTTTCCCTTGTTTCTTGATTATTTCTCCACAAGACAACTTCTTTTCATGTTGTGCAATAACATCATCAAAAATCCTGTCCACACATTTCACATAACCCTCCATCTCTCTCTTCACTCCCTGAAAATCGAACCGGGCGAGAACCGGAAAGAAATCGGAAACATTCAACTTCCCCAACAAATCAATAATCTTCGACACAACCGAAAAGAACTCCGCCGCAATAATTTCCCCTTTTACCCCTTCAATTGTCCCACCCCACAACATGTTCATAATTACGTCGAGTTCGGTCCGAAAAGTCAACTCGCCTATTTTGACCGGCTTCCCCGAGTGGGCCCGGACGTAGTCCACCGCCTTCCCGACAACGTTGGCACGGAGTTCATTGGAAGCTTCGAGGCTAGCGGTGCTCATCATTTCTCGGACGAATACCTTACGCATTGTCGCCCATCGCGAGTTCGTCTCGGAAAAAACGACGTCGCTTGCGTTGTACGAGGCGGCGAGGTTCGCGACGGAGGCGTCACGGTTGGAGAAGACGGCGTCCTTCGTTCGGACGATTTCTTTGGCGAGTGAGGGTGAGTTGATCACGACGCAGAGTTTTCGGCCGAGGTTGAGTTTGAAGATCGGACCGAATTTGTGCCCTAACTCGGTTAGCTTGGGGAACAAGTTATTGCTTCTGCCGATAAACGGCAAATAACCGAGGATCGGAATGCCACGTGGACCTGGTGGCAAGGGAGGAGTTCTTTTCCCCAGTGAATATTTGATGTACCATAGAATTGAGAGTACTGAAAAAGTTGCTGCTACTACATATATGAACTCATCCATTTTCTTTTTCTTTTTTATTTCTTTTGTTCTTAGGCTATACTACTTCTTCAACTGAACTGGTGTTTGGTTGCATGGAATATATCAATCTTAAATATATAAGCTTCAACAAGGGTGAATTGCGTTTTGCACCCCAAAAATGGCACGGATTGGCGTTTTGCACCATTAAATTTTGAAATTGGCAAAATGCACCCTACAACTGTTTCTTATGACAGTTTAACCAAAGATTTGTTCGACCCTACACCCGGTGATAAACACCGGGTGGGTCTTCTGCCACGTGTCTCTTTTCTTGTATCTTATAATAGATTCCCCGCTAGGGTTTATCTTTAGAGATTTAGAAAAATACACAACGAACACGTGGCAGCAGAAGACCGACCCGGTGTTTATCATCGGGTGT